GAGCTTTATGCAAAGTTTTAAATTCGCTTCATGGAAGAAATGCCTTTATTATTTTCATTGTTCAATTTCAAGTCAGATTTGGGTTAGTTGTTTTATTTAACACAATTAAGTCAAACTCGTGTCTACATATGCAATGCATTCTCATTCCACATTTACATGTAAGCTTGAGCATGACTAAAGGAGTTTGGGTGTACAATGAGTTTGTCCCCCCAAACTAATGGCTTATAAACCATGAAAAATATGTGTGACAAACAGCACAAGATATACCCAGGTCATGCTATCACTTTTGCTAAGAATCAAGTGCCATAAATCTCAAAATATTTCTTCTGACTCTATCCCTGTTGGTAAGAGGAACTTAAAAGATTTTCTTATCCAATTCTCCGAACTTATAGGAGAAAGCAAGTTCAAGAAAAATAACATATTGATCTAAAGCCATCATTTAGGTAGCTAATGACAACAGAAAGAAATCTATCTCGACTTTCAGCTTCAACTGCCACACAGATTCTAAAACAAAATTAAGCTTATCTAATTTTCCTAATATTGTTTAAGTGACATTTAAAAGTCTGAGTTCCAAAGGTCGAAAGAAATTATACTTCACCGCAAGATAATTGTATAGATATTTTTAAATATCTTTCAAAATACAAGGTTTCTTTATTTTTTCCAGTTATGAATCACTCGCAGGTGGTAAGATATGGAAATCTTACACATATGTTTAAAGTCAGGATTTAATTATCCAAGTGCTTGTGAACCATCCTCACATTAAATACATCCACACCCACACTAACTAATCTTATATAATTGTCCTACTTGAATTTTGTTATAATGGAACATAATTTTAAGTCTTTTTCCTCCTGTAAATGATTGAATTTATTATAGTATTTCCATGTTTATAGGATGCATTTGAGTTACAATACTATAATATTAACATTCAGTCTCCTACTAAATACCTCTAAACCACTGTACAATACAAAAATTGATGACTGGAGAAAGTGCTCATGGGAAATGAAAATAAAACCTGCATCTGTAGTATGATTTCAAAACTATAAAATATCAACACAATTCAAGGATGGATTTATAGAAAGTTTGACAGCAAGAGATTCTTTTCCCCGCTTGTCTTTTCTTCAATCATAGTTTCATAACAACAAAGCCTGTGATCCAAAGTTTATAAAGGAAAATCAAAACTATATGAAAAGCTGACCTTGTAAACAAAATCATCCATTTTCACCTGAAGAGAATAAAATTCATTGTCATTTGAAAAAAGTGAGTATAAATGCTATTAGGTTTTACAAAAAACACTGCTATAAAAGTGTTCCTCTATCTGTGTCTCCTAGAGAACCTGTGATAAATGACTAGATGTCCTCAGCATGTTCTAAATGAACAGGAGTATGAGTGTTGGAGCTTTAATGCCAATGTAATACCTGGCACTAAGAAACGGACTTGCCATATGCTTCCCTTCCCTCCCACCTTCCTGCGCACGTATCTGAATGATGTGGAAAGTTTCTGGATCTCATTCAACCCGAGTCCAGCTGGAGCTCTTCAAACTGGTTGCAACGAATAGGAACATCATGTGTACAATCATTTCTTTATAAGACGCTATAAAGATGTAGCTTCTAGAGGACTGCGTACAGCAAGGTTGCCTGTGGTTTGGCTTTTCAAACTTCTACTCCTGCCCACTGCTAGTTGAAACTGGTCTTTCAGATATGGTTAATTCTAAAGAAAGCTTGTAAACATTAAAGGGATCACTTTTCCATGACAATCAGTCTGGTTAGAAGGCCCGATAAGAAGCTAATCAGTCCAATATATTCACTGCAGGAAGATTCACACAGGAGTGCTCTTGAGACCTTTGCAATGCACAGCAAGAAGACACCCTAGCTAGGTGTGCTTGTAATGAGGGGACTGGATACAGATTTCACATATGGGGGGTCAGGACATCTGCTTATGGGTCAAGGCTAGGTCCTACATATTTTGTCACATACTTGGAAGTCAAGAACCTAAAGAAGTTTCTCGGCACACTTAAGATGATAGAGAAAACATGTAGTTGCTCCTATGAGAACAGTCCAGGTATCCTATTTCTTTGTCAAGACATATAAAATAGGGGTGAAGTGGCAACTTACCAAGGCTAATTGGAATACTTGCAAACACCATCCTCCAACAGTCAATGCCAACTGAAACCTGACCACCTGTTTCATTAATAAAACTACATTTTCAGAAATAAATGCATATGCCATGAAAGCCATTTGCAAAAGAAAATAATCCATGCAACCCTGCCTACTATACGTCATCATTTATAGAAACATTACCACTGAATATTTATATGCATATTATTAATCAACACTGATAACACTGAGTGGCAAAACATAGAGAACAGCACCGATTGGTTATACAAGGGTAGCCAAAGAGTGAAAATCCTGCTCACAGTTAAAACACTCTGTGGCTTGATAGGCTCCCACATTCACTAAACAAATCCTCATTTAGCCTTTCTCTACACATTTCTGTTGCTTCTAGGCATAAAAACAGTAGAGTGTTAATTAACATCTATGAAAAGAGCATTAGTTCTAGAAGTTTTATCCTTATTCTCTAGCCATACTCTCTTCAGCTGTTTATAACATTTTGGGGGAAAAACTTACTTCCCAAATCAATGGCTCTCTCTCTCTTGACCACACCATTGTATAACCCCTTCTCCTTGGTTTGAAATTGGACATGGTGATTTTTTTTTGGGGGGGGCGGTATTCTTGTAGTAGGCTCTGTACAGATTCTCCTGCAAGATGACATGATGTAGACAGTTTCAAAAGAGCCCCGTACAGAGAAAAGCTGAAGGGTATCTCCAACCAACAGTGGGCAAGCTCCTGAAGCCCTCAATTTAGTAACCAAGTGAGCAAAAGCACAAATTCACAACACGTCTTTCATTTGAAGTTCTGTGAGCTTATGATTATTGCAATGTATATCATTAATGTATATTACAATGCATATTGTAATGTATATAGTAATGAATATTGCAATGTATTTCATAATGCATATTGTTAGCTAACAGAGTCTGAAGCCCGAAAATTAGCAATAAAGGTTGATTTTTGCTAACAATAATACGAGCTCCAAACAGTAAACTAGGCTGTGGCAATCATAAATTCAATGTCTCAGAAGCAAAGCATTTCCCAGAGCTTAATAAGGTAGATCCAATGATGTTAGCAGAGTTCAAAATTAAGAGTGGTGGACACCGTGACAAACCAGAGTGACGTCCAGCCCACCACAAGGACCCAGAGGAGGCAATGCCCAGATCCTGTCTAGTGTTGTTGACATGTAAGAACATAAATGTGAAGTTGCCAGTTCTTTCACTTTTTCAAGAAAACCAGTGAATTTGGGTGTTTTATAATTCCTTACTCTTCCATTAATTAAAACACTATTAAATAACAATAAACGGCATGACCAAAGATCAGTTGCTGACCTAAATTATCCTTGTTTGACGTACATTCAAGCTGTAAATCTTGCCCACATTCTCTACTTGTATGATTAATACACTTCTTGAAAGATTTCAGAAGATCCTAAAATTCATATTGTTGGTTTGCAAATAAAAGGCAAGTTTTGTATGAGTAAACATCCAAAGACATGTTTCCCAGAGGCTAAACCCAATGGAAACTGACCTAAGTAATTCAAAATTGAAATACTAGTAACTACAAAGTCCAGCTAGCTCAGTTAAAGCAGGCTGCCTGTTGAGATGAACACTGACCCACAACATTATAATCACAGATTTACTGCAAAATACAGGATAATCGGTCTTTCATTTAATGGATTTTTTTTCCTACTTAAATGAACTTATTATCACCAAGCACTGGGATAAGATTTCTTTTACATTTTAATATAAAAAGATTAGTATACACACACAGGATCCCTTTTCTATTCACCAAATCTAATTTCCCATCAATCTGATTCACTTCTAGAAAGTATTGTTGGCATTCTTACGCCAGTTAGTTCCTTTAGTCGTTATAAAAGTAACTGGGACTGGAGATACAGTTTAGCAGTTAAGAGCACTTGCTGCTCTTCCCGGGTACCTGAGTTTGATTGCAAGCTTTCACGTAAGGTGGCTTTACTGCCATCTGTAACTCCAGTTCCAAGGATTCAACACTCTTGTGTGTGGTGGGCACTCTTACACACATGGCAAACAGACAGTTACACAGGCACATAAATACAAACTTTTTAAATGGGAGGAAAGGGAAGGGAAAAAGAATTATATCATCTCAAAAATAAAAGAAATAAAACAGTAATAAATGACTAGGACTGGCCTGATAGCTCAGCAGCAAAAAGCAACTGCTGCCAAGCCTGCTAAACTGCATTGTAGAATTGGAATCCACACGGTGGAAGGAGAGAACCAACTTCAAACTATTCTCTGACCTCAGTATGTGTGTCTTAGTGGTCTGTAGGAAACAGGACTTAAAATGCTTTTCCAAGCACAATGAAGCCTCTTTAGGGGTGAACTTGACATGTTAACAGCTCCTGATGGGAGTTTGTCCAACAAAGTTGTTTCAGTCAGGGTTTCAGGTAGCTGAGGAAGACTTTGAACTAATACTCTTGCCTTCACCTCCTAAGTGGTGGGATTACAGGCATGTGTCATTAGACCTGGCAATGTTGTTTCTTATTAAAATGGAGTTATTTTCCTGAGAAAAATCAGAAAATTGTGAAGAAAATTATCCACAAGAATAATTACTCAGGCCAGCTCAATTATGATATATGAAGCTAATTTCATATAAATTGAAGACAAACTCTAATTTTGAGTATTTTATATCCAAATCCTTGGACACGTATGCTGGTCAAAATACAATTTGCCAGAGACCTCAACTTCCATTCACTGCCTCCTAAGCCACACCAGCTTAAAAAATCATTTTAATGTTGCCATAATTACATCTAAAACCAAATCTTTCAGTAAAGAATCTGAATTCAAGGGTTAACAACAGGTTAACGTAAGAACTGTTTTTCAAAAACAACAATGTGATTAATAACTGACAGTTACAGAATTCTTAAATGATTTTATTATTCCTCTGGTCAAATTTAAATATCCTCAAGGTCCCAGATCAAGTGCTTCCTCCTGACTTTCCGACAGCTGCATTCTGTCTTCTTTCGGTTTATTTAGAAGAAAGTCAACCATCTGCAGGAGGACATCGTCATCAAAGCCTTTCACATCGTTATCTTCCACAGTCTCATACAGAGGCTTACTCTGTGTCCCCCAACATATGTTTTTACGAGGGTTATTTTGATCAGCCTGTACAGTCAGTGCCAAAGTATTTAATTGGTAGCAGAAAAAAGAAAAATATTTCCCATCTGTGATCACGCCCTGGGAGACAAAAGGTCGAGTAACATCTGCCTCGCTCCAGAATCCTGTAGAAGAAAACAATGCGGGGGTTTACACGTATTGACGGATTTTATCAAAACAAAACACACTGGAGGGTAGAAAAGACCTCTGAAATACCAAATCCCTGAGATCTCAACGTCTCCATGCTTTTGCCACTAACTCCATATTCTATTTCTGTAGTAACGTCTCCTCCCTCCTAGAGTCCCCAAACTTAAGATTTATCTTTTTTTTTTTACAACTTCAAGCTCCAATAGCTTCCAACATTCACATAGTTACCTAAGAAGCTTTACCTACATGAATGCCCCTGCATCTGATACTAACTCAATGGCATGAATATGCTCCATACTAGCACCATGTAAACCCAATATCCCTTATGATCATTTATTTCACCAAATACAAAAACATACACATGTTCTTAAAATCCTCAGGAAAAATCTAGCTTTCTATGGTTTCAACATCACACACTTGAAAAATCCAGTGCCTTTGAATATTTCAAGAGGTTTGAAGAATTGCTGTCTTCACCTCTGGTGTCTCAGATTATAGTGTTCCAGCATGCCTTAGTACCTTTACTACTCAAGTTTGGGCTCACTCTTGTTCTAGACTGACAGGCTTAATATTTCTAAATACTGCCAAAGCCAGGAATCAACTTAACTTCTCCACCCATATATTTTATATTTAACTCTTAGTAGAGACATCTAACAAAGTCACTGATCAAACATAGAAGGTAACAGTTTATAGTCCATGACTACACAGTGCCTTTGGAAGGTATCACTAAGATTTCCTGACTAACCCAAGCCTACCCCCTGCCATCTTCCCTTCCTAGTAAAGAAACAGAAGCCAATAATGGAAGCATAAAGCTGAAATGCACATCTACAATTGAAAAGGGAGATTCTAGTGAGAACAATCTGACTGTGCACAATTAATCTAGTTCCTAGTTTGTAACTTCAGGCATTGCAGGAGAACCCAAACACCTCACACTGGACTTGGAAAGAGCAGGAGGATGAGGACTGGAGCTCATGGTAGAGGATCTGCTTGGTAGATCCCAGTCCTTGGTCCAAACTCCAGCCCAGGAAGGAAAGTCCTACATGACATACTTTCTACTTCCCGCCATGCCACTGCACAGCATTCTCCTTCCCCTTTCACAGATCAGCCTCTCTGTTCTCACTGCAGAGACGTTTTTCTTTTGTTTCTGTTTCTGGCTATTCCTCCATCTCAATGTGTCTTCCCCAGATTCTGCATCCAGGTCTTCCCATAATGGCTGCTTCAAATTGATTTTGCCTCATACCTCATATAACTACCAGCCAAAACCCATTATACTTCTTATGCTGGTCTACTTTTCTTATAACATCACCACTCTGAAAACAGTATGTTTCCAGAAGCTCTCCACTGTCTGTTCAACACTTTCTCCAAGCTAACAGTGCTGCCATAAAAAGAACTCATTCAAGGCCTGGTGAAATGACTCAGTGGGCAACGTGCTGTAGCACCAAGTTCGATTCCTGGGACCCACATAAAGGTGAGGAATACTCAATCCACAGAAAGTTGCCCTGTGACCGCCACATGTATGCTGTGGCCCACAGGCCAAACTGAACGCACTTGCATCTGCAGAGGGAGAGCTTCCTCACTGGAATCTTGACTTCCATGTCTTCATCACTTTCTTTCCTAACTTGAGAATTTTACAAAGTGAGAAAATCTACAAAGATTTGACTTATTCACTGTAAGTTTTTGAAATGTTTGTGAAAAAGACTAGAAAATATTTTTGTCTATACAGGAAGTAACACAGTAAAAGACCGAGAATACTCAGGTTTACTTGCAAATTTCAAATGTAGAATGTATTTCATTATGGATTTCCAGATAACTACATTTCGTGTCAATGTAAACTTCTCTAAATGTTCAGATAGATCTAGGTTGCGTCTTACCTAAAGAAAACAATCTGAATAACTCCATTCTCAACAGGTTACTTTCTAGAATGAGAAGTGCCATAACACTGGACTTACCTTGGTACATAGCTTGAGCTCCGGTCCAAGCAAAAAGACTTGCAAGAGCATTAGCTCTAAAAACAACTTCTACCTGCTCAGCTTGGTTTTGTTTTATCAGTTTTTCTCTTTTTAAACGGTCAGGTAACAGATGAAACTGGGTGTGGCCATAGCAACATGGATCTGCTGTTTTGGAGCCTGATGGAAACAATAAAAACATTTCAGATGAAATGAGAGCACACGAAGCACATGAGAGGCACATGTGCTCGTGTTTGTTTCAAGGACATCTCTCTTCTCTGAACATCATGTTCATGTACTCAAAATATATAAATGGAAATGCCTTGCATATTTTTTTTTCACTGAGTATGGTAAAGTTACGTGAAAACAATTCCTCATCCTGCTCTTTGTCACAAAGCTTACCAGGGTTCAAAATAACCCAAAAGGATACATATAAAAGGCACTTATAATTCTCCACTATTTAATTTTGACAAACTTCTCAGTCATTATTAAGAGCTACTACCACAGTATCCCTCAACGTGTACACTTTACGAAGTTTCAGGGGGTAAAGTGCTTGCTGTACAACCCTAATGACTTCAGCTGAATACCCGGAACCCACACTGCAGAAGAATGCACTCTACAAAGTCAATCTGACCTCCATATGTGCCCGGTGGTATTCATACACCCACACTCATATTATACATACATATTCACAATACAAAAGAACTACTTTGCTATTAATGTAATGATAATATTTGTTCATTTTTTAAAGGTTTTTATATTCGGTTTGTAAGCAAGGAGCTTATTGGGCAGAGTACTTGCCTAACATGCAGAAGCCCTGTTTGACCCCGAACACACATAATACTGGCATGGTGGGACACTCCCTGCCTCTAATAGGTATCTGTGGCAGGATGGTCTGCGGAGTTTCAAGGCTACGTGTCACTCCACAGTGAGTGTAAACCTCGTCAGGGTCAAAGAAAGGAAAGGAAACAGGACAAGAAAAGAGAAATAAAACCAGAGGATAAAAAAAGGAGGAAGGAAACAGAACAGGAAAAGGAGAGCAAAGGCAGCAAGGACTGATGGTCCAGCTGTCATAAAACACTGACATGCTGGATATCATTGTTAGAGTAGTTTCCCCAGTCACTAAGACCGAGTGTCTGAGAAAGGGTTAATAAAATGGCCTAACTACTTCTTGAGGACTAACATACTTCTTCTTTAAGTCTTCATTGGGTCATCTAGGAACTAATAAGTATATGGAAGGAACAAAAAGTCAAGGAGTGTTAGGGCAGACATGAAACCTACTAGTGTTTGAACTCCGTATGTATGTACCTTGTGTGCCTTCAACAAAATGCCATTCAGGATCCCAAGTCCAGATTTAAATATACAAAATACAAACTATTTTTCCATATAACAATTTTTAAAGTTTCAACAAACACAGGAAAAAGAAACTTTCAAAGATCTAATTTTTCCACAATTTTCATTCATGCTACAATACCTTGAGATTAGGAATGATACTGCTCATAGCCAATCAAATGTCTTAGTCTTCAAGAATTAAACTTGACATGGTGAGGTAGTATACACTTCTACACATACAAGTAGGCAGAGGCTGGAGGGCTCCTGCTACCAGTTCAAGACCAGCTAGGGCCACATAGTTAGTTTAAAGCCAACTGAGCTACAGAAAACCTGTCTCCACCAAAAACAATAAAATATGATAATTCAAAATTTCCACTAAAGTTAAAGCATGCTTCCACTTTGCACATTCTGAATGTATTTATGGATCAACATGTAAAGAGAAACTTACCAGTAAATATGGTATTTTCATACTGTCGTTTGAATAATGGAAGCTTGTCTGGTTTACATTTCATAACAGGGATTTCTACAGGAATGGAATAATCCAATGGCACAAACTTAAAGAAGAAGAAAACACAAAGTGAATTCAGAAACATTTGTATCCACTTCATTTACAACTAACTAAGATTTAACATTTTCCCAATGAATTCTTTCTTACTAAATAATCTGATTATGCATGTTGAATATGTTTGACTCAAAATGCTAGGGACTAGAAGAGCTTCAGACGTCAGCTCCACAGTATCCACAATTTAGAACATCCTCATAGTCTAAACGACAGACACTCCTAATTCAAAACTCTGAAATGCTCTGAATTCCAGGGTGTTTCAGGCAACATTTTCAAAAGTTAAGTGCTCAGCTACACTAATAACTATTAATAGGCCCAAAATGGTCATACATAGAAAATTTTTTAAAATCCTGCTATAACAATCATAAATTAATTTTACTCCATTGATGCCTTACGTGTTTAAAAATATTTGACCTTCACAGAACACACCATACACAATCAGAAAGTTGAGCAAGATTTCCAGATGAGTTGCCATCATAAATCGCACAAGGAAGGCAAGAGGGCTACCCAAAATACCTCATCATATTCACCTGGCTACCTGATTGGCCCATGGCAATGCGTACACCTGATGCCAAGAGACATGAAACCTTACCTCGGGGAGTTGCTGAGATACGCGGATCTGGTTGTGTGGCTTATCATTTATCTGATACCGTAAAGCGTCAATACGACCTTTTCGATGACCAGCAGTAATGCGTTCTTCACCACGCTGCCAGTAAAAGTCAACAGGGCGCTTACAATCTATCAAAAGATATTCAAAGTTTCTTCATTATCTAGAGAAAACTGGTTATTAACTTAGTCATAAACATGTTAAGAAATGGCAGGTCTAAAACATATAGATAAAAAAATTATAGTGATTAAGAATTTGGGTTCCAAGTCTCAAGTGCAGCCCTCAAAACGTCATTATGCTAAACACTGTTAATTAACAGGGTTACTCAGCTAATGACGATGCTTGAACGGATGGCACCGTCACTCACCAGAATAAAGTGCAAGCTATCCTATGATGCACTAACTTCACTTTTATACTTACTCTAAAGGTATGTATAATTGCAATCACTGCCATTTTATACAAGAACTTTGGTCTGAGTCAAGTTAAGCTTCCTAAGCCACCAATGTTGAGTAGTCAAAAGTTACTGTTTTCCTAATACCACTTCCTTTATAAGTGAGAAAGGGAAGTAATACAGACACTACAACGTTCAGTTCAGCACACATCTACGGCCATGAAGAATTAATTCGTGTCTGGATCATAGACATAAATGAATTACAAACACATTATCAATTGGAGTGTGGATCAATGGTAGAGTGTACTCAAGTCCTTACTCAGCACCATCAGACACAAACAAAAATATTATGCATTATTTTTCATGTCCACACTGATCAAACAAGTTTGTTTACTGGGCCTAAATCTTGACCACCAAACCTACCAGACATTGGGTCTTAAGACAGCAACACCTAACATGTGTCTTTTTACTCTTCATTTATAAAATGAATTCATGAGATCCACTTTAGTCGGAAAAAGGGCAGACACAGTGATTGTTAAGGAAATGTTAGGAATTTTAGCTAATACCTATTATTTAATTTTCATAATTCTACGGCCAAACAATATTACCCTCATTAAATTAGGCAAAGTAAGAGAAGTTGATCTTTTACCTATGGTTACCCAGCCTTCCTGTGGAGGGGTTCGGTCAAAAGACCCCCACCGCCACCCCAAGCTGGTTCCACTCAAGAAGCCTCTAAAACTTTAGACTCCACAGACCACAAAACTGGTTCAGGGCATGGACACGTGATAAACTTCTGCTGAGTCTGTACTCAAGACAAGCAGCCGTAGGCAGAGGGAGGCCAGGAGAAACTTGGGTCTGTAAATCCCCACGCACGGAGTGGCTACTAAAATAAAACCAGGCGGGACGCCCGGATGCCACAAGGATACGACTGGCAACCCCGTGAAGCCCTGCCCCCAGCGCGTCCCCGCCTCCCTCCCCGGTTCTGGGTGCGAGTGGCTAGCTCACCGAGGGCGGCAGTGGTCAGGATCGGGTTGAGTGGGGCCAGCAGGGTCACGAGGGTCTCCACCAGTCGGTGGAGGACGGGTGAGGAGAGGGCCTGGGGCGGCTGGAAGAGCGGCGGGCGCGGGCGGCGCCGCAGGTGGACGTGCTCCTGCAGGATGCAGTCGCAGGCGGCGGCGCGCAGGCCCGCCAGGTCGAGCGAGGGCGGGGGCGGCGCGGGCGTGCGCGGCAGGCCCGCCAGGAACACGGTCTTGGTGAAGCCCTGGTACCAGCGGTCGGCGTTCAGGGCGAAGGTCTGGGGATACACCACGTACTTCTGGAACTGCATCTTGGTGAGAAGCCCTATCTTCTCGTCCACCGACGGGGCCGCGTGCACCGCCGCCTGCCAGCGCTGCACCCGCCGCAGCCGCGCCGCCTTGCTGTCGGCGGTCATGGAAGCCACGATCGGCGGGTACCGCGCCACCGGCGTCGCCACGACCTCCGCCGGGCCGCTCGCCTTGGCGGCCGAGGCGGAGGCCTCTGCAGCGGCTTGAAGGGACAGTCCCCGCCGGGGAACCAACTTCCAACCCCTGGCCGCCGCCATCTTGGTCCGCGCACCCGGAAGCCGGGGTCACGTCTCAGGGATTGTTCCTGGTCGCTTGCCGTAGGGACCAATCGCTTCTCGGAGGCGGGTGCTCCGCGGGCGCTGCGTCATTTAGTTTGCAGCCTGTCATCCTGCTCCTCTGGTTGATTCTGTTCTTTTTGAGTTACTTGTGCGGGAAAGAACTGGCTTGTGCCAGATATTTTCAACCTGTTACGCTCTGAAGAGTGAAAAATTTTAAAGGAGTGACTTACATCCCGCAGGTTGTTTTAAGGACTCGCAATTTTCTCACCCGCAAACATTTAGAAATATCCCCCAAAGATTAACTTTAAAGCAGTGCAGTTCTTAGTTTCGCTTGTGTCTCATGCCGCCCCTCCACCACTTTAGAATTAGAAAGTTATTTTAGGAAATACAGCTTCTCTTTATTTGTGCATGCTAATTTTAAAAGTTATGCCAGTAACACCTGAGAACTTTACGAATATAGTTTCATGTATTCTTCTATGCTAATATAAAGTCATATAATTTATTTTGCAACGAGGAAGTATGTTTTAACTTGAATTTACCGAAGAGTGGGAAACACATGAAGTAAATACTATCAAACAACTTTTTAAAATCTACTATGTATTAACCCACTCTTTGGTGTGAACTGATTCTTTACAATAAAGTTCTTGAAAAAACGATCATTTTATTTTTCAGTCTTCAACGACCAACTGTGCATACTGGATATTCAAGAAATATCTCTGAAAAATACCAAAAATTACACAAAGTGTAAGTTAATTTCAGACAACCCATTTCATCGACTCATTAAGAGACGGGATAAGAGTGGTTTTGACTTAAGAAAACAATTCTTGAAGATGTTGAAAATATTTTGTTTATAAAAGGAATGTAGACATATTTTTAAGTTACAATTGCTAATGCAGTTCATGAAGTTTCAGGTCTACAAAAAGAGTTTAAAAAGGAAGTACCCAAGTTTCATTAATACCTTGTGTGAGAAGTTCCTTACAGAATTTTAACATTCTTTTAACTTAAATAACAAAAGGGCATGATCTCAACCTTCATGCTCATATTTTGCACTTAAAGAATAAAGGTGAGGTGCCTAATAACAATATAAATTGAAGTGCTATTTTGTGTGAAATTATTTTACGTATCATGTAAGACATAAGTCATTATATGTTCTCATATTATTTCAGCACAGATTATTGATTGAAATGTCAGCTCTAGAGAACAGTTAACAACAGAAGACATGATTCTATTGGGGTGTGTTATGTTTGTGTGGGGTAGTAAGTCAAAATAATTAAAATATATCTAAGAGGAAAGGTAGGAGAAGCCCTGCAATGGATAGAAGCAAACTAGAGAGAAAGGGCCAAATTTAAGCAATGGAAAGAAGGATGCTTCTGTTCTAATATGACCCAAATCTTTTATACTACATACAAGGAAGTCTGCATCAGGCCAAAGCTAAACAGTGTGGCAGGGGCAGACTTGGCACTGGGTCCCAGGTCCCCTGCCACTCACCCTCTTCTATTTAATGGATATTTATGAGTGCCCTTAATGTGCCACTGACCTAAGTGTCTGCTTATTTAGTGGAGCAAAGACACCTTGCGTTCTTTTTGCTTTTCATATGGAGGAGTTTTTCATTAGGAGAAATGGAATGGGAAGGAGGAAAGGAGGAAGAGAGAGACAGGCAGAGAAGAAAAGAGAAAGAGAGAGATGGGAGGCAAGCAGGGCCCTTTTAAGGGAACATAGTGTGAACAGGTGGTGCTCTTAGTGGCTGCATTCTTAACAGGAAGAAAATATATAATCACAATACATAATTTTGTGATTTATTAGAAGAGATAAGTGCTGTGGGAAAAGTACAGTGGACAAAGTAAATATCACTGTACTCTAGTGTGTAGACAGGTGTTTACAATGCATACTCTAGTGTGTGGAGAGGTGTTTACAATACAACGACCATGGCCAGAGTACTGTTCTTTATAAGATACTATTTGTGCAATGACCTGAATGAGGAAATGAGGAATCGGGTAAATATTAGAGACGGAGGTCTCAGAAAGAGAAACGGATGCAAAGATTCTGAAATAGGAGCATAGGCTGAAGATCCAATAAGTGGGAAAGCCACATGAACTTATAAAAACAAAATAGATGATGAGCATAACTGGGCCCAGACCATGGCACAGCTGACTCCATGATGGAAGTACGGTTCAGGCCAGAAAACTCAGCACACAATCAGTACAGCCTGCCAAAATGAAAACGAACATATTCTCCACCAATGTCCACAGTTCTTGGAAAGTCTCTAAATGTACCAACCTGGCTTTTATTTTTATCTTCTGCAATTCCTCTTCTGATTAAAGCTGTTCTTGTTAACTGAAGCATGTTACTCAGAACAAGGTTTTTATGCTTAGAAACTCACCCAAGAAGGGCTCTATACTACACTGGGATCCGGGAAACCCAGTGTAGCCACCACCTGGTGAATACAGACTTTCTATTGGTTTAAATCCATGTCTGAGCAATCAACTCAGGTGACTACCCCAGAACAATGGGGAAGTAATAGGGATTGAGAGGAGAAAGGAGAAGAGTCAAATTTACAGGCTTCTAGACACAATTGCTTGTATTGTTAGGACTTTGGCTAGAACTCTGAGTGGCTAGGAAGCTGTTAAACTCAAATGTCAGAATGCAATTTAAGATTGCTTTTTCCTGTGTATCTACTAGCATAGACTGCTTGATTAATGAGTTTTTCTCATAACTCTGGAAAGTAGAAGTCCAAGATGAGGGTACCACTATGGTCTGAATTTCGTGAGGGCTTCTTGACTTGCAAACAGCCTCACATAGTGTAAGGAAAGCAGGTTCTGTGTTTGTTCTTGTATGAACATTAATCCCTTTATTACAGGTTCCCACCCTTCTTTTAACTAACCCACTCCTGTGAAACGTACATTCTTCCTGCCATCCTGGTCCCAGAGCCAAGTCAGTCCCAAAAATGAACACACAGGATGCTATATTAATTATGAAGCTATTGGCCATTTGCTATAGTTTCTTAATGGCTACCTCTGACTTGATTATTCACCCATAATAACTAATATATTAAATTAGAAACAAGCTTGTTTCACATGACAATCCCAACTCCCTCTCCCTCCCCTCCTCTCCTGCCCTCCCCACCAGGTCCCCCAGTCACCCACCCAGTCTCCACTCTGATCCCCAGGGAGGGTGAGGACCTCCATGGTGGATCTCCAGTGACTGTCATTTCATCCAGGGCAGGGCCTAGGCCCTCCCCCAAGAGTCCCGGCTGAGAGAGCCTCCCATATTGTGGCATGGGCACTTTTTAAAAAAATAGGGACAGTTGCCCAGCCTGACAACCTAAGTTTTGTTCCAGAATCCTCATTGTAACAGAAGCGATTCAGTTACAGCAGGTTGTCCTCTAACCTACACTAGTGACACACACATGCAAATATAATACATTTTAAAAGATTAAAAATTAATAATGAAATTGCCGGGCGCTGGTGGCACACGCCTTTAATCCTAGCACTCAGGAGGCAGAGGCAGGCAGATCTCTGTGAGTTCGAGGCCAGCTGGGTCTATAGAGCGAGTTCCAGGACAGCCTCCAAAGCAATACAGAGAAACCCTGCCTCGAAAAACCAAAAAAATTAATAAAGAAATTATGGGAAAATTATTACTTTTCACTGAAAAGGCTTCAGTGTGTCTGGGCCCACAGTGGTCACAACTCCAATGATACATAAAAGGGTATTTTTGTAGTTTTCTGGGTCAGTTGTTCCAAACATTTTATATTGAAATTACATATATTTTATTTCATTATTATCCTTTGACTTTTCCATTGTAGTTCAGTGCTGTAATATATAAAAATGCATGTTTTTTTATCTCATATGTGTAGGAAAGTTATTTCTAAAGTTTGAGTCACATTATATTTTTTTATTTGAAGTACATACATTGTTTACCCAGTGGCCTGTGTGATAAGTTTGTGATATCATCTAAATTTGGAATGCTCCCCAAATGTCTTTAAGGCTTACTCCACAGTCTTTGGCTCTTTGGAAAAGTGGTAGGACCTTTAGGAGATGGGGCTTAATTGAAGGATAATGTTACAGGATACATGCTAATGAAAGGGATGATGGGATGCTGGTCTCTTTCTTGTTTTCTGGCCCCATCTGTAGAGAGAGTTTCTTTCCTGCCTGGTCCCATAGCCGTTTAGCCCAAAATAAACACAAAGAGACTTATATTAAATGTAAACTCTTTGACCAATGGCTTAGGCCTCCTACTGGCTAGCTCTCTCTTAATTATTAACACATTTCTATTAAACTATGTATCACAATGAGGCTATCACTTACCTGTAATCTGGCATGCTACTCTTATTATTTCAGCCAAATAGTTTCTAACTAACATAAGTCTCTGTGTGTTTATTTGGGGCTAAATGGCAATGGGACCAGGCAGAAAAGAAATTCCATCTACACCCATCAGGAGACAGATTTTGCTCATCACGTGCTTCTATCATGAGGTATCACCTTACCTCAGGCCTGAATCAATGGACTAGAGATTCTAAAACCATGATCCAAAAGACATTTCTTCCTTTAGAGGGAATTATTTCAGGTAATTTGTTACAATGATGCAAAGGTAGCTAAGTTTTTGAGAGTAAAATATGTCAATCACCCATTTCCTCCTTTTTTTTTGTTCTTTTTTTCTCATTTTCCCCTCCCTTTTACTTTAAAAGTTCTTAGAAGGATCAGTCTTTCTTGATTAGAAAAACAACCCTCAGAAGAAGCTCTTTGCCCCATACCCTCTCTTCTACAGCACAGATGGAAGATACCAGACACCACCAGGAGGAGAAAAGCCTTGGTCATTTAAAGAGTTGTAAGGTGGAACTATAGATGCACATAGATTAAAATATGCATGTTTGTCTGTATGTTTGCCTCTGTAACACAAATAAATAAAACTCAGAGATAGATATTGGGGTTCAAGCTGAAGATCAGAAAAGCAAAGCAGCCAAGTCACCAGAGAGCTCTTACCTCTATCAAGGCTGGGGAGAACATATCCTC